GCATTTTCCAGCCAAGAGAAGGCTACCAAAGAAAGAAAGGCTAGTGCCTCCATATAATATATTGATCTTTTGTTTTCCCAGTTCTTTTAATAGTTGGGACACAATATCAATATATTGGGAAGAAGCTACCAGTTTAGGACCGCCAAGAATACATATTGTTTTTATAGGTTGAAGAACCTTAGTAACTTGGGAAGATTCAGAACGCTCCATTTTGGTGTAGAGATATTATAATGAATGATCGATCTATTTAAAGAGAAAGATTATGAAGAGATGAGTATTATATTTGATATGGTCGTTAATAGTGGCTCGTGAGGAACCGGTTGTGATCCGGTCATCATTGTTCATATGAAGGGGACCGGTTAAGCATTATGATAGTCGGCGGTTGGGAGTGCTTGGCGTCGCACGGTGTTCGGCGCCCCTCGAGTGCTCGGCATTGGAGGTGATCGGGATGGAGTGTCTGACGCGGCATCGTCCGGTATGATGAGTGCCCGGCTAGGGTGAATGTTCGGCGTGGGCGAGTGCCCGGCGTGGGAGAGTGCTCGGCCAAGGGAGGTGCCCGGCGGCCCTCGTGCGCTCGGCGACCCTCGTGTGTTCGGCGGCCCTCGTATGCCGTCGAAGGGGCTAGAACCTGAAGATGGCTTTGGGATCAAGTTACGAAGGAGTTGGTAGCGACAAGGACTCTTGCAATTCAGGATGTTCTTGACCTAATTAAGTAGTTCACACAAGCAAGACTTCTTATCCCACTGGGACTTTCCAAATTTCTCCTATAAAAGGGAGCAGGTTCATTCATTTAACACAACACACATTCACGAGTTATCTCATTATTCTGCCGTTTTCTGTCTAGACCATCACTGACTTGAGCGTCGGAGTGTTCGCGCCGGGACCACCCCCGGCGTGCTTTGCAGGTACCGACGATCATGGAGAAGCAACCCGGTTCGAGAGGAGCGGTCCAGCGGTTCAAGTATTTGTGGTATAACAAACATATTTATGATAATCTGAACCTAATTATTTTTGGTTTGGAATTAAATTAAAATTTATCCAAGTCTAATAACGCATCATGTAATTTTGCCACATACGATTCTGATACACTAGAAGCAGTCACGTAGGCTCAGCGCGTTCTGGATTAATATATAGTGAGATATCAATTATCAAAATGAAACCGCGGATGCATTTTATTTTATCTAAAAAAAAAACCAGCTGATTCTTGAGCCTTCCAATTTTCTAAAGAAAAATAAAAAATAAATACAATAGAATTTCTGGGTGAGGTGGGGTTAGGAAATACAAAACAAATGTCAACTCTTCAATCAACATTAAAAATAATTTTTTAAAAAAAAAGGTTGACTCTCCACTACTCATTGAGCTAGACATGGGCACGGACCCAGCCCGGTCAAACCCGTTGACCACAGATTTGGAACCGGACCAGATTTCTGATGGGTCGTGTCAGTGTCATCCATTTCATGACCCGGCCCGGGTCAATGGCTCGCTTTTCCTATTTTCTTATTTTTTTATGTTGTTTTTTTTATAATAAGAATGACGACCCGAACCTAGCCCCGGCTCGGTCAACCGGGCCATT